AGCCTAGAACCGGCCTCTCAAAATCCTTATGCCCTGAAAGATTCACAGAGACGAGTGCGGCTGTTTTGTTCCCTCGCAACTTAACAAGGTTGATGACTCATCCCAGCCAACAATCTTACAAAAACACAATTCCCACCCGCTGATCACCTTGTACTGGCTAATGACAGAACATCCAGAGCTAGCACGGACCCAGAGGCCACGCTGAGCAATTAACCTTAGAAAATGTTTAAGGTGCCTTGAGAAATACTCTGTGAGCTGCATTGCCCTAAAGGATGAAAAACAGTTATAAGCTCACATCAGCAGCCTTCAGGTTTCTTTCAGGGACTCCAGTGACCTTGAAGTGGCTTGATCAATGATATGAACACTGCTCCAGTGGTGTCCATCCGAATGAGCCCTTCAGAACAGATAAGAGGAGACTGTTTGAGACATGTGCTGTTTTTCCCTCCAATGGTTTCCAAACTCACTGGACTGACCTCTTCTGTCATATCAGCCCTTCATCTGTGAGGATCTTTTTGATCACCACATGGACAAACTATGCAACAGAACCGCCAGGCATGAGCAAGGCACTTGTGTCCTAAAGTTAATGGGGGAAGACAGCTCAGGGGAAGGACCCTGCATGGGGCTCAATGCACCTTTGCTGGCATGAAACTGAGACATTAAGTCATGCTCTGTCTTACTCCAAAACACAAATGGCCACTTTGACAGTTGCTACGGTCTTTCCGTGTCCTGCCTCTTGTGCTTCTCCTATTGTTTGTTTGAAATCCAACTCCAGTGTGAAGGTGTTCTATCAAATGCGGCATTTCCTCTCTTTGAGGCAGACAAAATCTTTATCTGATATACAAAGCAGACCAGGCTTCCCTGAGGTGATGCACACTTGAAAAATTAACTCACAACAGCGGCCAAGCTAAGAACTCCCATCCAGAGCTGTGACCAGGCCACTGAGCACAAATCAGTACCTCCAGGAGGTGCATACAACTATTTGCATCTGCAGTGCCAATTTCACACATGTGGGGCAAAACTGTAATCCTAACAAGGTATCAGCAGCACAGGTGCTGTAGCCAAAGTCAGGAAGGAAAGCTGGCAACAAAAGCAGGCTTCTGCAAGTGTGCAAGTTAATCTTTTAAGTCTCTGCTCAATCAATAAGTTATAAAGGGCAGATCTCACTCTAATTAAATTTGTGCACAACATTTAACAAAAGTGTTGCTTCAATTATGGTGTGCCTGACAAGTTTGTTCCGATTTTTTAACACGTGTAGAGACGTAAACAGACAACCGGGAGTAACATTAAAAATATCTGAATAATGATTCATTCTAGATTTTTAAAAGTGAGGGAGGATGAATAGATACAAATTTACACCAAAATAAATAAAAAATTAAGAGGTCAATAGACATGAACGTATTATTCAGAGCAGATTACGATAAAATAGAAGAAATTAATTTATTTAGGAAAAAAATAATATAATAACAATAATAATAATAATAATAATAATAATAATAATAATAATAATAATGTTTGGTTTTATTGCTTTTGCCGCTCTCTAGTGGATTCACTTTAAAACTACATGACCTCCCATAATGCACTTTGTCCTTTTATTCCCATCATTCCCTGCAGCAAATCTTCTGCACCGGTCAAGATGGCGGACAGAGCAGGTACCGTAATGTGCCTTCTCCCAAAAATATTGTCCTATTTTTGTTTTATATGTCATCATCTTGGCATATAATGAGGCTTTTGGGGACTGAGGGGTGTTTTCTATCAGACAAGCCGTGAATTCGTCACTTGAAGGTCTTTTTCGGACTGAAGGCCTCGCTAAACCCTTTGAGTCACGTCAAGGACTTTGCGTGTCATTGGCGGATTTGCTGTGACAATAAATCTGCAGGCCGCTTTTTTACATTTAACTGCACCTTTCAGAGTGACCTTCAGCTTGGATGAAGCTCTAATAATCGTGCTGTTGATAAACGTGTCAATTATATAACGGTTTCTTTAGCTAGCTTGCTCGGTAGCACGCAAATACGGTGCGATTAGCACAAAGTAGGATGGTCTCTTTGACCAACTTTAATTGTAAAAAACATAAAGAAGAACTTAAAATAAGCTTGGGTGTCTTGTTGTGTACTTTATGGTGTTTTTGAAAAGCGGTCCAGCAAACTTTCATCCATTATCTCATTACAATCGGCTACACGCACCTGATAAATGTCAAATTAGCTCCTAGCGAGTCGGCTGCTGTGTTTTGAGTTGAATTGAATTACTGCGACGACTGAAAACTTGTTCACAAGTTGTTAATTATTTTTCAGAATTAAGAGCTTCGGTTTTTTTTTAATTAGTCTCCGTAACTGTTAGCCTGATAATTATTTGAATGGTTAATAGTTTATTGGCTATTAAAAAAATATGTAGGAAAATTACACTTTTGTCCTCGGTACACGATGTTGCCACTTTTTTTGCCTTGTTAGACAAGCGGTTTAAACGTGTTTTTAGATTGCTAATGTTTGTAATTCAGTGGCATGTTTTTATTCTTTGTTGACAGTGTGCATTTTCAGTGATGACGCTCTTTTTACGTGTTTTTAGTTTCCTTAGCTGAGAAGCGGCTGATGGACGTGAAACTCAACGAGCTGGGAGCCTGGCTTGGAGGTCGAGACTTTACTCCCAATGGCGTCCTCTCAGCCATTCGCAGGGGTGAGTACAACTTGCTCCGACTACTTCTGGTGGGCAGGGAAAACTTTTTTCTTTTTTTTTACCTACTGGAGCTTGGTTTTTAAACACTGATTATTTATATATGTATATATTCAGCTTGCACTCTTCCTCACATCTCTTGTGCACTGTCGGTTGCTTTGGATGTTTGACCCCCACATATTTAAACCCAACCACATTAACTACTTCAGCTTATTGCATCTTTACTGTTTCACCTGTAACGCATCTATGTTATGTAAGGCATATGTTATTTATGAGGGCTCAGCTCTGCCTTTGGCTAGGCGCTTCCTTAGTACAGGGGTCCTGAACCTCTCCAGTATAAAAATAAACAATGGCTTTGTGTGTGAACATTTCAGTTTTTGGCATTGATCTAAAGCACAGATGTCCAACTCCAGGCCTCGAGGGCCAGTGTCCTGCAGTTTTAGATGCGTCCTTGATCCAATACAGCTGATTTAAAGGCTAAATTACCTCCTCAACATGTCTTGAAGTTCTCAATAGGCCTGTCAATGAACTAGTCATTTCATTCAGTGGTGTTGACCCAGGGTGTTATCTAAACTCAGCAGGACACCGGCATGGAGTTCGACACCCCTGATCTAAAGCACTCTTTACATTTACCAGCAGTACAATTGTGTCCTTAAACACAGATTCTTAAAAAATATTTTACGATGTGCATCATAGCTCATGTTTATCACCTTGATTTTTGCTGAACCTCAGTAAAAATGGTTTGCATGGCTGTGTAGTTTTAACTCCCAGTTGGTATGGATTCCAGATCTAAAAACAAAAAAGTGTGAGGGGAAAATGGAATGATTTCTTCACTTTCACCAAGAATTTTTAATCTAAAGCTGGACTTGAGTTAAAATTATGTTGACAATTGACTGTTTTAAAGTTTTTAGATTATTTCACTTTGTTTGATATATTGTCTGATTGGGGCCTCTTAAAATTGATTTGCACAGAAACCTGGGTTGAAAATTATACCTGCTCTGTCTCAAAGTGGATTTAAAAATGCTAATTTTTTAACTCCACTTTTCTTCTGTTTTGTTAGTAATAA